TCCAGCCAGCTTCAATTGCTGGGAAGAAATGTAGGCTAAAACCTGATAGTCCTTATAGTCCTATGTTTTCTCCCTTGGCTCTGACCGTTACAGGATTGCAGCAGAACTGTTGTGGAACAGAATTTGTCGCTTAAGCTGAAGGACACTGCCCCCCCTACAGCCCCCATCTCCTCCCCCCGCAGCAGAACTTGGGACTAGTTACTTTTTTAGGCTGCCTCACCCCCAAATCCCCGCGGGAAGCCACAGGCTTGGGTTTGCAAGAACTGAGCAGGGCTGTTGAGGGCAGGACAGCATGGAGAGCTTTCATTCATAGGGTCACATAAGTTGGAAGTGTCTTGAAAGCACATAACAGCAACAAATTACCGGAAACCTGTAAACTTCATTGGGCCATGAGACCGTGATTTGAATCCAAACTATGTGCTGGATTTGAATTCAGGTGTCTTCAGTTCTAGCCCAACTCTTTAACAATTACACCACCATGGAACTCTCACATCTACTCCTAGGCACCTTGACCCACAAATATGTTTAGTTATATCAATGGACAGGTTTTCAAGGAAGGAGATATGGAATTGGTTAGAGTAGAAGGTTGCCTTTTAGTGAACCTTGAAGGTCTCCTCCCATCATCTCATAGTCTTCTGACAAGGAGGACTTTTTAATGTGAGTTTCAAATCTCTGCTGAAAGAGAAATTAATGGGATTTTGGTTATTCAGAAATACAATGTGTAAGCCCTACAAAAATCTCACTCACCACCTTTGGGATGTCCCCCTCCTTTTTCCTCCGTGGTCATAACGGGTTTGTGGTCTCTGATAGGTAGCATTTCCCCCTACTTCCAAAGGAGAAGGGTAGGTAATGCTTGTGTTGGCAAAGGTTTCATACAGCATACTGAATTTATTAAAATAGGTGAACAAGAGAGGTGGTCTTCTGTGTTACAAGAAAAACACACACACACTGAAGCTAGGAATATTAACTATATGACTGTTTAAAATAGCACGTAATTGACTCCTTCCCGTAGAGTTTGGTAGCAAACACTACAGTACTGAATGGAGATGGGAGATCTTGTCTGGACTGGCAGGCGGGTGGGTGGGAGCAAGGCGGAAAGGCAATAAAAGTTATGCTTAAATTTATTACATGAACAAAGTCTTCCTTAAGCCTTTTATTTAACCCTCTAGCACCTAAGTTGTTGGCTTATTTATTTATAAAGGATATTTACAGGTTAGCTCCTACATATTTCTCATTGTAGTGGAAAGAGCAAATATTATTACATGTGAGCCGTGCCTGTTTTCTCCCCACACAAAACGTGAAACATCTCAACTCAGGGGGGCCTGGGAACACTTAAAAGGCGTGTAAGTTTTGAGTTCTATTTTTAAGCAGCTAATCCCCTGGAAAAAAAATATTTTGCTTAAATGGTTTAAGCTGTCCATCTTGAAATAATTTTTTAAAAAAGTATATCCAAGTAGTAAACTGATGTAGGGTCCAGAACATGCATTCCTTCCTCCTTTCGAAGAGGAGAACTTTTAGATTTTGCATTTTTTTTACAAAAAAAAAACTACGACTCCCAGAATTCCCTCCCCCTTTGTCAGGATCCTCCGCCGCTGTGGAATTCTGGGAGTTGTAGTCCAAATTTGAAAAAAAGGGCTGCGGGCAGGATCGTCCTTATCTGCTGAGGTTTCCTGTGCCTTGGCCCACTTTTCTCAGGAGTCAAGCTGAGAGAGATCTTTCTAAACCCATCCAAATTTAGCGTTTTCAAAGGATGACCTGGGATGGGGTCTTGTTTGAGCCTGCCTTTTCTATTTGAGCTCGGTTTTTTAATATATATATATTTATATATTTTGCTGCCTTTTCTAGGCAAAGCAGCCTAGGAGGAGCTGTGTTTATGCCAGCTCGCTTCTCGTCAATCGAGCCCAACGCTCTCCGACATCGTTTCCCAGGTTCTCCGGCAGGAAAAGGTCTTTAGACTTTTCTTGTCCTGATTCCAGTGAGCTCAGGGTGTGTCCCCCACAACGCTTCATCCTCAACCCATTTCTGGGTCGGTCTAAGGGAGGCTGGTCCAAAGACACCCTGAGAATTTCAAGGCGCAGCGAAGAAGACTCAGACCCAAGTTCCCTCAATTCCCAAGGCAGCCGTTCTCAACTCCGACCATCCCCTGGTTCCTTCTCCCCTCTCTGATTCTTCTGATTCGAGATGTGGTCAGAAATGTAACTCGGAACCTCCTGCATAATTGAATTCTGGTTCCTTCACACATGCACACTTGCTTAGGAATAGAAGTAAAGTAAACTGTCCAGCGGAATGGAAGGAGACCGTGGATGGCGCCTCCTTGCATCCTATAAAAACCTGGATTTTGCAAGCAAAGGGCCATTTGGACCCGATGGTCCATAGAACTTAAACTACCCAGCTCAGAATCTCTCTGGGAAGCAGGCTGGATGTCAAGGCACCGAGGCATAGCAGAAGTTCACACCGGTGGTAAAATAAACAGGAAACAGCATTTCCACCTCTTGGTAGCAAAACGATGTTCTTTGTGAAAGAACAGAGACACACACACACACACATACACTGCCTAAGACTCACAAAAAAATATATGAAACATATTTCTTTTGTGAGTCTCAGAGTCAAAGAAAGGTAATCATTTCACCTTTATTACTGTGGGTGTTATTGTTTTTGCCATCCAGCGGGGATCCCCGGATGGAGGAGAACCCTTTGATTGCCCCAGATGTAGCAACTGAAGTGGCACCAAAGGGCCTCGTATTTCATTTCATGTATTTCTTTATATTTAAAACATATGTACCACCACCACCCTTTTAAAAAAGGACCCAAGGGTTTCTTGGGGCAGGGAAAACGTTGAGCCATCCTCCCTTTTAACCCTCCCCTTCTTATTTTGTCCAGAGAGATGTAATGTATTGAGTTTCTCCACCGGTATGTCCTTGAGTTTGCAAAAAAATTAAATGCACAGGAAAAAAAGCATTTCTATGTCCGTCTGGGTTGGCTGGTCAGTCTCTATAGACAATTTTTAAGGGGATTAGCAAAGATTTCTGGCTTCCCATTGTTTAGTAATGGCAGCAATAAATCAATCTCTCTCTCTCTCACACACACACACACAGAGGTAGAGAGAGAGAGGCATTATACTGCTGCAGTGGATCTGGGTGCGAAAGAACTGCACCTCCCCTCTGCTTTGATACGCTCAATGCTGGGGCTCAGACGTCTTTGTTTCTGCATGCAAGACACCCACCTTGGGCTTCTGTGGATTCTAGTAGCGACACCTGCAAATACAAAGCCTTCGCAGCCCTGCTGTGTAAGGAAAAGAGGAAACGGTCATCATCTCGGTCTCCGGTCGGAAAAAGATGGTTCCTTTTTCTTGGCTGAGTCTGGCCCAGCCTTACTTTTTGAACCTCGTGCAGGAAGCCAGATTTAGGCTGAAGATCAGGAAAAAAAAAACTCCTTAACTGTTAGAGCAGTATGAGCATGGATCCCAAGACCTCGGGAGGTGGGTGAGCGCTCCAACACTCTGGAGACCTTCGTTGGTCCACCCTCTGCCGGATCTGCTTAGATTGGGGTTCCTGCACTGAGCAAGGGGGAGTTACACTGATTCAATTATTCTATAATTCTGTGCTGTTGATGATGATGATGACTTGGGCACTTCCTGCTCAGGGAAGGTTAACCCTCTGTTCTCTTCCCCCTTTTCCAGAGCTATTCACAGAACCTCTGCCTGCTGGCCAAGTGTTTCCTGGACCACAAGACCCTCTACTACGACACAGACCCCTTTCTTTTCTACGTCATGACGGAATACGACAGCAAGGGATTCCACATCGTTGGCTACTTCTCTAAGGTGGGCTGCGGAGGCCTCGTTCGGAGCCGCGGCGCTGTTGGGTCGTGCTCCTGCAGGGCTTAAGACTTTCTCATCTTTAATTTGCCCCCCCCCATTCCCCTTCTGCACAGAGCTGGGAATCAAAGGCAAGGCATGCCATTGTGCGCCGCCACAATTTAACAGCATACACTCGCCGGATGTATGGTTTTCTTTTCCTCCTGAGCCCCATAGATTCAAAAGGGTTGAGGGTCTTTCATTGTAATTTCTTGGCAGCAAGAGTTAAAAGTAGGGGTGTGTGAGGGTGGGAGCAGGAGTGTGCATTACTCTGGAGTGGCAGGAAAGGGATTACCTGTATTTTTCTGTGTATAAGATGCCCCCTACTTTTCTAATCCAAAATTAAGAAATCTAAATGGGGATTAGCAAGTGTGGGGGGGGGAAAGGGATCGAAGCGCTGCAGGATCGCTTTGATCCCTGCTTTCCCCTCCACTTGTTTTTCTCCCCTCAGCTTACTTCCGTGTATAAAACGACCCTGAATTTTTAGTCTAAAGATTTTAGACAAAAGTATTGTCTTATACACAGAAAATATGGTAATTTCAGAGTGCTGTCGAAATCTGTTTACCTGTCTGTCAGCTCTCCAGCTTCATTCTCCTCTTACTCTTGATATTCCCGCAAGCCTTTACATTTTTATTTCTGAGATCTTCCTCGCAGCCGTAAGGATTAGAAGCCTGGTTTTCACGTAATTTTCAAAAGCAGTGGGATCTGCTGTTTCTGTATTTTGACTCAGGCCTAAAATGTTAGGCGTGCTTGAGATATAATCATCATCGTTTTAGAACGGCAGAGCTGGACTCCTCTTACTCTTGATATTCCCGCAAGCCTTTACATTTTTATTTCTGAGATCTTCCTCGCAGCCGTAAGGATTAGAAGCCTGGTTTTCACGTAATTTTCAAAAGCAGTGGGATCTGCTGTTTCTGTATTTTGACTCAGGCCTAAAATGTTAGGCGTGCTTGAGATATAATCATCATCGTTTTAGAACGGCAGAGCTGGAAAGGGACCCTATGGGTCATTGAGTCCAGCCCCAGAGGCCCAGTGGGGGAATCAAACTTTCAATCTCTGGCTCCACTGCTGGAGCGCTAAACCACTGAGCTATGGGATGCTTTCTGAATCGGACCGGTGGTACACAAGCAACATTAAAACTCCAGACTGTTTTGTATAAAAGTTAATGGGGTGTGGGTTGGAAATCTACTCTCTACTGGTATAAGTTTGGTCAGAGGACGGTTAGAGAGGCCAGAATTTGCGAATTGAACCCACTGCTTGCTTTGACTTTTCCTGCAGGAGAAGGAATCGACAGAGGATTATAACGTGGCCTGCATCCTCACTTTGCCCCCGTACCAGAGGCGAGGCTATGGAAAGTTGCTGATTGAATTCAGTAAGTGGATCCTTTATTTTTATTTTTTGCTATTCCCACCTCGAGTCTCCCTGTTCGGTTTCTGTGCAGAGCGAGGCAGCTGCCTTCAGGGACGGTAGCTGGGGCAGACGGCAGGAAGGACAACTTTAGCCCACCCCCTTAGAAAATGTTGTGGGTGGAGGGTGGGAATAATGTGGGGTGTGCCCTCTGCCAGATGTCGCCGGAGTCCTCCCTGATCACCGTTGCCGATAGCATCCAGGTCTATTCCCGATCGTCCCAGAGTGTGCAGGACATGTAAGAATGGGCTTCGATCGTCCCAGAGTGTGCAGGACATGTCAGAATGGGCTCAACCTACAGGAAGCCACATTTCGGCGGAAGATCAGCAAAAACTTCTTAACTATTAAAGCAGTACAACAACGGAGCCCATTGGAGGTGGCGAGCGCTCCAATGTTGGAGGCGCCCATGCTCTCTGGAGGCGGCGAGCGCTCCAATGTTGGAGGCATTCCAAGAGAAAATGAGACCACCCTCTTGTCCGATCTGCTGTGACTTGGATTCCTGCCTTGAATACAGGGGTTGGACTTGATGCCCTTCTAGACCCCTTCCAATTATTCAATGATTCTATCAAAATTCCACCCTCTCCTGCTTTCTTTGGTTGGGGGCAAGAGGCCCAGGTTCCCTGTCCTCTCTTTAATTATTTTGTAACATGGAATGGCATCGTTTCCTTTTAAAATATTTCCGCATGCCCGTCTCTGTGTAGTCGATGCATCCCCTTTTTTCTTTTTGAAGGGCCTGCAAAGCCGATCCGTCCTGACTTTTTTTTTACTTCTAAGGAAAAGGAGAGGCATTCTTTATCAGCCTCTTTCCCCCATATTTTGAGGACAAGGCAGGCCATAAACAAACCTGCTTTTAGCACATCTGTTCAGTCAAATGCACGGAAAGCGCCTCGTGCGATGCCTGCTCAGTGAAGCAACCGATCCTCTTTTCTTGGACGTGTAGGACTGCTGAGAAAGGCAGCCTTTTAGAAGGCACCCCCCCCCTTTTGCTGATGAGAAAGCCCCTGCTTTGCATCCTTAGTGGAACAGGCCAGCCTTGTAACGAAGGTCCTGAGCCTGCACAGAAGGAGGTCGGCGGAGGGCTGTGTTTCTGGGCTGGACCCCCCCCCCGAGGAAAGGCGGCCGGCAGGGATCAGCTCGCTGTTCCACTGGATAATTTAACACAGGCTGGGGGGACACACAGCTCCTCACTCTTCCACCTCTTAATTCTCCCAGATTCCTCAAACCCGTCTTCCCAGAAGGGACACAATTCTTCCCGATGTATTTCCCTTTTTTTAATGAAAACTGACAGCCGTGTGGATGCGTCCAGGACTGACATTAGGGCCTCTGGCCCTGGATCGTTAAATGGAAGGAGGAAGGGTGGGGTGCTCCCTTATTGGGCCAGATCATTCCCACCCCGTCCACCTTTTGCTCATTACACACACTGATCTTCTCAGGGACCCCTGCTGCCCCCTTAACAACCCCACCCAACGGCATCCTTCTTTCCTCCCAAGGCTACGAACTTTCCAAAGTGGAAGGGAAGACGGGGACGCCAGAGAAGCCCCTCTCGGACTTGGGCCTCCTGTCCTATCGCAGCTACTGGTCTCAGACCATCCTCGAGATCCTCATGAACCTCAAGTCGGAGACGGGGGAGCGTCCGCAGATCACCATCAAGTGAGGGCGGGGAGCAGCGTCTCTTGGGGGAAGAGGGGCAGAAAGTTGCATGAAAAGCGCCTGAAATCACGGCAGGGGTGCATGGGTGGGTTTGAATCCTTATTCCTGCAGTCCAGATGTTTTCTAAGACAGCCAGCTGCAACGCCACCCTATCTCCCGGCATGCTGGGGGGGGAACTCTCCTTCCTTCCTTCCTTCCACTCAAGTCTCCTGTCCTCCCTGTTACTTTTTTTTTTTCCAGCGAGATCAGTGAAATCACAAGCATTAAGAAGGAAGACGTCATCTCCACGCTCCAGTACCTCAACCTCATCAACTACTATAAGGTGGCGCCACCGAACGAACGGCTATTCTTAAATGTCCTTGCACACTCAAGAGGCCGGTGTTTTATGATGTGGTTTGGGGGCAGTTACTGTTTTAAAATAGTCGCACTGTAGTTCCAGGGGTCGCCTTCCACTGCAGTTCGTGATCCGTTACGGTTGCTGCTTTAAAAGCAGGCCTCCGCTTGCTTGCTTCTCAGGAGTAGAAGCAGATGCTTTTTTTAACCTACCTTTTAAAAAAAGTTTGGAAAAAGTCAAGCCACTGTCGTGTGCTTAAAAAAAGAGGGTCTCCTGTCATCGCCCCCATACCATGTTAACCGTCAAAACAGTGCATGCAGTAGCAGGTCAAATCAGCGCTTGTCCCCAAAGGTATTCCTCCCCCACCCCCAGGTTGGAGAAAGTCACTAAAAGAGTCACTTAAAGGCACAAAGTTGTGCGTTTTAGTTGTAAAGGCCAAAGTATTTTTCTAATTCATTTTTGAAGGGGTTCATTCGTACGAAACAGTGTTGAGAGAGGAAAGCCGTGTCTCTTTGGGCTGCCGGTAGTTCTTCCCCACATCTCGTATCTCATTTTACAAAACTGGGAAACGGGTGCCTAAGGGTCAAAGGACTTCCAGATCCTGCACCCAGAGGTGTATAAAATCTCAGCGGGGTTGGCACCGTCCTGCCTAAAAGGTGTGGCGAATTGCACGTCGATCCGTTCTTTCCTTGAGGACTAGAAACCTTCTTTGAGAAATCATTTTTCCCCCTTTCCTAGGGCCAGTACATCCTGACCCTGTCCGAGGACATCGTGGAGGGCCACGAGCGGGCCATGCTGAAGCGAATCCTGCGGATTGATTCCAAATGTCTGCATTTCACTCCGAAAGACTGGAGCAAGAGGGGGAAGTGGTGAGGCTGAGGTCTTGACTGCAACCAGAGGGGGCTTCCGGGCCCTCCCTCGCCGCCTTCTCTTGCCTTCTCTGCAACGGGAGAGGAGGGGAAAATCAGGCAGGGCCCTTCCCGCTCAGATGGAAAGACTTTCTCTCCCCCGCCCCGGGCTGGGCAGGGACCGTCCTTGGAAACAGAGGGAACCCTGTGATCCCTGCCCCCCCTCCCCGCCTGCCTCTTTGTACAGAGCACTTTTCTGGAAACGTTTTCGCCAGGCGTGGCGCACAGAAGCCGAAGAAGGCGCGCGAGAGACCGGCCGCCCCGTCTCCTCCTCCTCCTCCGTTGCGGTCGCTTGGATATTTATGTGTTAAAAGACACTCTTTTCTCCACTTCCATTCCCCTGTTCGGAGCCGGAGCCCTTTCTGGAGGGCAGGGGGCGTTTTTCCGTGGGGGATGCTTTTCAATGGGGCGTGATAGGAAGAGGGGGTGTCACGATTGCCTCTTTTTAAGCTGTCGGCTGACCCGAACTGCAGAGCCATTTGCTGTGGGGGGGGGGGAAAGGTCTCGGTGACTTGCTTCAGAAGCTGCTTTCTGTTCTCAAGACCTTGAGGGCATCCAGAGACAATGGGGGGGGTGTCTCCCCACTTTCCCTCTGAAAGGGGGGGTGTCTGACTCCTAGTGATGCGCCGTACGGCCTTCTCTTAGCCTTTTTCCTTAGCGGGTGGGGGCTTCATGAACAAGGAGGACAATTATAAGCAAACCTGTCAACCCCCCCCAACCTCTGTAAACAATAAATCAAGAAAGTGTGTTTTTTTTTAAAAAAAGAAAACAACCAGTGTCCATTCTTTTGCTTTCAGTACCATACGCGTTCTCAGGAGCTTAAACGTGTCTCTGCTATGAGGACTAGAATCTTAAGGCAAAAACTCCACAAAAACCTTGTGACGTCCTCAGGACAAGTGAGTGATATTCAATATACATAATTCTGGACCGTCAGCGGTACAGTTCTGTGAAAGCGCAAGCCGAATAAAGCTTATTTCTCTTTTAAGGTACGGCAGACTGTATTGTCGCTCCTACCCTCCTTGAAGGGTTTTTATTCTGCTTTTTGGTGTTTTATTTGGATTTTCACAAGGGGGGGCCACACTTCGACATAGAAACGGCAACGGTCACGACAGCCTAAAATTGTTGAACATAGCAGTTTTAATTATAATTATAATAAAGTCTCCTAGTGACTTTTAAGACGGAGGGATGATACGACAAATTGGAAGCCATTTAGAATATAATTTTATTTAACGTGGGGAGAGGGGAGGGAGTACTTAAAAGAGTACTCCGCCTTGCGCAGCTTTCTTGGCGGGCAGAAAACACGAAAATTAAACTACCTTTGGACGCGTATCATAAAAATTACAGGCACCGGCAACAATGCCAGATTCTTAAATCAACATCTCTTGGGGATCCGAAGCCCAGGAAAAACCACATTCTGCCCAAGTAAAAAAACCCCAAACTGGGCAGGAGAAACGGGCACCTGGAAGAGCAAGGGTGGTGGGCGCAACCAGCCTGCAAGACGGGGCTAGAGGGATGATGGTTTGCGTTCTTCTGTCTCCCGAAATCCAAAATCTGCATCCAAGGGCCGCGTCTTTTCTGAAGTTGCATGCGCCGAGGTGTGTTGCGGTGGTGGTTACGCCACCCCTCACTCGTCCGCCACGGAGGCATGGATCTACCAAGAGAAATACATAGAAACTCACTCATTGCAGAGTTTTCTGCAGGGAAGAGTCCTTCCCTGCAAGAAACGCGATCCAGCCGGACGCAGTTCCAGATTAAGGAGAGCCGCCGGATGGAAAGCTAGGAGAAGCTAGCCTTCCATAACGGTTCTGTCGTGATGGTCACCCTTGGTCTCTCCCAGCGGTCACTGGGGCATGTCGGCCCTCCGAGCGGGGGCTGGCGGGCACTCACCCCCTCGGCGATCTTCGGCCAGCGGAGAGCCATGAGGATCTCGTCCGTGGCGTTGGGCGCCCGTTCCAGGTTCCACACCATCAGCGACTCAAAGGTGGATTTCACCTGCAGCTGCCTTTCCTGGGGGTCGGGGGTGGTGGTGGAAGAACAGTCGACGGGGGTCACATCCAGGGCCCATGCTTCCTTTTTGCAGACCTGACCCCACTCTGTCCGGCCACCCTCTGAACACCTATATCCCTGGTACAGGCAGAGGCTCACAAAGCCATCCCAGGTTCATTTTTCTGCATTTTTTAAAAAAACGCACGGCCATTTCCGCCTTTACGCTTAACGATATAGAACGGAAATCTGTATCGCTACTAGGCGGTAAGTTTGCATACATTCTCACGGACTGCCCTGCTGTTGATCCTCATTTGATTGCCCGTCGCGATAGAGACAGAGGGCTGAAACAAGATTCCCCCCCTTGCTCTGGTCCCCCCTTCTCTGGTCGGGCACCCGGCCCCCCAGCCAAGGAACTCACCGCTGATGGCATCAAGGGGGGCTGGCCCTCTTCCAGTACCAGCCCCACGTAGCCCTCGGGAACGGCGGTCCGGATCCCCTTGAGGCTTCGCCCACGGAAGGACACGGATGACACTGCCAGATGCAAAGGGGTGGGGGGAGTCAAATT